CGCCCCAATTATTGTATATTCAACTAAAAACAAATGCTTTATTTTTTATTTATTTATTTATTTATTTTCTTCTTCTATTAGGTTTCCCTTGCATTTATGCTTTTCTACGTACACAATCTGGTTGGAGACAAAAAGGGGAGGGGTACTGAAGGTTGGGGTACCCAGTAGAGATCCGAGCAGAGATGGCGGCCATTTCTTTTTTTTTATTTTATTTACTCAAGCCGAGCAACCAGCATTATGGCTAACCAACCAGATAAAGAAAAAGTTTGTGCATTTGGACAGCAAAAGGAAGAGAAAGAGGGGAGAGATTCAGAAAAAGGGCACTTGACTCCTTGCTGGCAAATAGCGTCTAATCCGACAACCAAAGTAAAAGAAAAAAAAAATCATGAGGTTTTTTTTAGCAAATGTGAATCCTCAAGACCATAATACTAATATCTAATAGATAGATAGATAGATAGATAGATAGATAGATAGATAGACATGTATTTCTCTTTTGGCTGTCTGACATGTTCTGTTGAATGCTTTGAAGCGCTCCGACGGCATAGAAAGAACAGGTCGTATTGCATTGCATTTGGGGTCATAAGGCGCGATTCGGTACAAATGAAAGGGTTTAAGGGTTGCAACCTGAATACTCTACACTTATTTGTTTAATTTTTTTTTTTTTTCTGTTCTTCTGGCCTTGATCTATTTTATTTATTGGGTGGGGAATATAATGTAATGCAATGCAGATCAGAACATCTGCAAGCATATTGACGATCTAAACATTGCATCGCATAGTACAGTTTAAAGAGGTTTAGCATCTCGGTTTTTTATTGGTGCTGCAGCATTAGCGAAAAGAGGAGGCAATCGATGTAAGAATGAGTGAATGAGCTGCATCCTATTTGAATCAGACTAAGTACTTTGTCTGTCGTCATGGTCTCGGCATCAAGTCTAATCGTTGGTCTATTAGGTAAATCTGCTTGTTCGTGGATATCTGGTGCAATCCATAATCGAACGTATTGAGTATATTGAATGTTGAGGATGAGGCGGAGATAAGGATAACAAAGATGTGGATAGGAAGTATTGCAGACATCAATCCTGATATATACCTGGTGTTGTTACTGGTTAAGCACACAGATGTCTAAGCAAAAAGCAAAGAGATATTTATTTTTTTTAAAAAATGATTATATTATATTATTTTTATTTATTTATATATTTTCGAAATATAGACATTAGGAATGCTGAATGTGCACCTTGAAAGATATAAAAAGAGTTGTCTGCCTCTTCTTTTGTTTTCTACGATAGCAATCAAACAAATCCATAAAAATAAAAAATATATATATATAAAAGGACCACAGATGTGTTCGTTTCTAGTAATGTTAGATATAAATGCTATCGATTGTGCTTTGGATCAGTTAACAAGTTGGTTGCCAGCCTCTGTAAAGGGTAGTGGCCAGGATGGGATGGCTCAGATAGAGAGAGATGATATTGCGGATATAATTGGGATCCACTTTTGATTGTCTGACTGATTCAGTTCATAAAGGATCTTTTTGTTATTGTTTGTTTATTTAATATTAAAAGTAATAATAATAGTGATAATGATAGTGATAATAATAATAATAATAATAATAATAATAATAATAATAATAATAATAATAATAATAATAATAATAATAATAATAATAATAATAATAATAATAATAATAATAATAATAATAATAATAAGAATAATAAGAATAAGAATAAGAATAAGAAGGTTACTATAACAATAGCAGCAGCAATGGTAATGGCAATGGCATGGCAAAGGCAAAGAAGCAAGTGTATATTAAATAATTTAATGCGTTTATAAAGATGAGAATATATAACTATATAACTATAATGCATACTCATAATAAATAAATAAATAAACAAATGAGTATTCAATTAAATTGAATACCATTTATATACTTAAAACGAGATTGTATTCAAAGTTAAACAGCGATGATATAATTTTTTTTTCTTCTCTCCTCATTCTCATTCTGGTCAACCCTCGCCATATAAATACTGGTTGCAACTCAACCCCACACATCCACACCTCCTCCTTCTCCTTCTCTTTATCAACTCTTTATCCGTCTTCATCATAATCCTTTTCTTCTTATAATACTTCTTTCCTCTCAGCCTTCAATCAATTCATCTTTCTTGTTTTGGTTCATACTTCTTTTTGTTTGCCTCGAACTCTTTTTTTTTGTTCCTTCATTTGTTCGTCTTTTTATTCCTTTCCTCCTCGTCTTCATTCCCCTAGGTCCTCAGACTTTTTTTCTTTTTGTTTCGTTTTATTTTTGTTTTTGTTTTTATTCATTTCCAAAGCAAGACATCCATCCTTTTGGTCAGAATAGAATCAGATCTTTGTTTCCCCCCCTACCTCCTTTGAGACCTTGTCGCCAGAACAGATCCCATCTGATTCCACAAAGAACCGTTCATATCATTATCCTTTTTCAGTTGTGATTCTTTTCATTTACTCCTTCCTTTTTTGTTGTAGTTTTACTTTTTCTATTTCTTTTATAGTTGTAGCAATTCGTTTTTGTTCGTCTTTATCAACGAACTATTCTACTACCACATTTAAGCATCAACTCCATCATTACTCACTATTACACCCCTCCTTCAACCACGATCAAAGCCCAAACAACAACAAAAAAACCTTTTTCACACTAACGGCGCACAACAGCACAAAATACAGTTCAGCCGTGCGGTCCCGTCTAGAATTTTAATTCTTTCCGATCACATTTTTTTTTTCTTTTCTTTTCTTTTTCATTACAACTCATTACAAAACCCATTGCGCTGGTCTCCTTCCTTTCTTTTTTCTTTCTTTCTTTTCCTTGCTTTATTCCTTTTAACCTTTACTCGACATAATACAAAGCCATCGTATCGTATCTTCATCAACATTATAATCATTATCAACAACAACAATCAACAACAACAACAAAAACAAAACAATATTCTATTCCTTGCTTCACCTTTATTTCCTCCACACGTAGTCCTTTCTCTTTCCTTTTGACGTCTTTTTCTACATCCAAAATATCAATATTACTATGCCTTCTCTCGCAGAGACAAAGACCTATTCCAACAGGAGCTTGGAAAAGCTGTTTCGCACTCCAGTGACTCAGCAGATGATTGGTGAGTACTTTTTCTCCCACCTTTTTTTATTCCTTCTTTGCATTCATTTATCAACACCCTTCTGCATCCGGCTCAATCCCCGGCTTTTTTTTTATTAATTGTTGTTATGACCATGATGATTACAACCACAACAACCACAGTCTAATCGTGCACCAGCACCAACAAGAGCAATAATGACAATAATAATAGACGTCCTTATTGTATTATATTGTTTTGTTCATGCAGCGTTTTATTTTATTTTTGCTATCCTGCAAAAAAAAAAAAAAAAAAAAAAAGAAAGAAAAAAGAAAAAAAAAAAAGCAATGTTGACGACTGGTTGGAACATGTTTCTCATCTGCAGAGTCAACACACCGTCGCACATACACAAAACAAACTCATGCACGAGAACAAAAACCGTTGAACGTTCATCTACCTCCCTTTACTGCCGCAGTCTCTGAAAAATAACTGAAATGGACAATGCACTTGACTGACAAACCTGTCCTATCCTATCCTATCCTATCCTATCCCTACATCTTCTCTTCCCCTTTATTTTATTTTTTCTTATTCTCCTTGACTAAACCAACCCCCCACAGATTATATTGCAAACTACGCCAGCACAGTCATCGAATGTAGTCCGCCACCAGTCATCGACTCGTACACCTTGCCTTCTCCCCCAAACACCCCAGCTAGCCGTGCAAGGATGAACAGCGGTCAAACTGAATCCTCCATGGTCATCGTCCCACCCCTCAAAGACTTTATTCGTCTGCTTGTCATCAATTCGAACGTCCAAGCTTCCACATTATTGCCCACGCTTGTCTACCTCGAACGTCTCAAATACAAGCTCCCCGTCGCCGCAAAAGGTAAGATCCCTTTTTTTAAAGTTTAGTCATTACATCGATTTGACATCAAAAAACAAAAAACAAAACAAGGGAACAAGAGAGCAATGAGATTTATACAAAAAGAAAAACATTTGTGTTTGTGTATCCCTTGGTGATCTGTGCTCTTAAATTTCATGGGTGAACGTGTTGATGTCTCTTTTAATGAAGAGATTATTGATCGTCATAGAGAGAGAGCTCTTTAATTATTATTATTATTATTATTATTATTTATTAGTCCGCACTAAGAGAGAGAGAGGGAGAGAGAGAAAAAAACCATTGTGTGCTGCGTATGTGGGAGGGTGTTTGATCCCTCCATTTATTTTACTATCATGAATAGCGTGGACAAAGAGTTACAAAAGATAATATGAATATGAATAGCGATCTGGTCACCGATCTCGATCGGGTATGTGTTATTTCCTTGGTCGGTAAAGGAGGGGAAAAGAAAATACTATCTGTCCCATTCTCTTGAAATTATGCAACTTCACCGGTGAGAACAAATAGACAAACACGTTTTCTATTGCAACGATTAACACAATCAGACCGTTGTTGAATTGTACCATTAAGACTATTTTGTTAATCACATTAAAGAGTTGACATTTTTGGGGATCACCATGGATGAAAGGGCGTCAAAACAAATCAACAAACCAGTAAGAAAGCAGGTTGAGAGCAGCAGCGCAGAAACGCTTTTGGACTAAAACATCAAAGTCAAACAGGGGACCCCTCTCAAACAAAATCCACAAAGCCCGCTTTTTCAGCACCCACGACATCCTTCTACAAAAGCACATTTTAAAGTTTCGCGAATGCGCTCATTGTTTATTCACTCTTCTTTCCTTGTGACACCATTTATTTCCAAATCATCATCGTCAAAAGAGACTTTGGGCGTCACTATTTCCTTTCTATCCGAATTTTCAAACTCCAATTTAATTTAGATGAACTGTATGAACTGTATGAACTGATCCTTTATTGGTCTTTCTTTCTCTCTCCTCCTATTCGTTGGTGATCTCATCTTAGGTATGCATTGCACATGCCATCGTGTCTTCCTTGCTACCCTCATCGTGGCAGCAAAATACCTCAATGATCAATCTCCAAAGAACAAGCACTGGTCTGCACATTCGGCCGTCTTCTCTGTCGGAGAGGTCAATCTGATGGAGAAGCAGTTACTCTCGCTCCTGGATTTCGATCTGCGTATCACAGAGGCCGACTTGGCCTCGAGTCTCCAGGACTTCTTGGAGTTGCAGCAGGCCACCTCATCCTCCGTATCAGCCAAGGGCACGACCATCCCTTCCGGTACCACATCTACACTTGATGCACATGCACGCTCCCATGGCAGTCGCTACACCTCGTCTGTGCCTGCTCCCAAGACCAACCTTGTTCCTTCGCCCAGTAGCAGCTACATCCCTCAAACAGTGCCCGTTAACCAGCCTAGCTCTAATAAGCGTGCTTCTGCCAGTCGAGAGGATAGAGCGGAAATCCGGGTCGTTGTACCGCCTCACGATCAATTCAAGAGACGCCCATCCCTTCCTAACCAGCCATGCTTGGAGGAGGGTGAGGTCATGCCCATGTACAAGATCCCCATCCGCAACAACCAAGATCAGTACCCATCACCCGACAGTGGTCCCGATAGTATGAACGAATCCTCCGACACGGTTGCTACTGGCACGGCTGTTGCTGTTGCACCCAAATCCCATCTTGTACATTTGCCATCTGTACCTGCACCAGTAGTGATGAGTCGGCAGCAGCTTGTCAGCAGTGGCTATGTGAACCAAAGTGACAACATGGTTTCCGGACATGGTTATAAACTTAGCCGAGCGATGTGCTGAGTTGAGCTGAGCTGAGCTGAGAAAAATGTTATATATATATATATTCTTGTTATTCATTCATCGGAAAAAAAACCGCGTTTTTTATTTTTTTTAAATGCCCCATTTCCTCTTTTCGTTAACATACACACAACAAAAAAAAAAAAAAAAAAAAAAAATCGTCCTTGTATTTTTATTTCATTGTAGTCTTTTCTGTTTGAACAAATAGCGCTCTTTCCCGTGTATACTATAGACAATTAAAAAGAAAATGAAAAAAACCTGCTGTCTTTGAAGAATGCTGTCAAGTAATTCATATGTAAAAATGTATATTTTTCTTAATATGCGAAAGTGATGATTTGAATTGATTTGGTGGCTGATCATTGACCACTCGTGATGATCTTGTATTAAATATAATTTGGCTCCATGATATTTCATATAATTCATTGGCGAGGAAAATAGACATCGTTTACAAGAGTACAATCTTTCATAATGGATGTAGACACAGACTTTTTAGAAGATCCACCTCAGGTAGCGTTATTGCGATCGCTATTGAATCGGAGCACGAGGATTCAGATCACAGATGGACGATTGTTTGAGGGACAGTTCATGTGTATTGATCATTCCAAAAACATCATTCTTGCTTCTGCATATGAGTCACGACCAGCTTATTTGAATCCCTCCCTAGCAACGACAACAACCTCATCTTCATTATCTGTCGCCACACAAGATAAGAAGGCCATCACAGACGCTATTGCCAATGCAATCGCTGCTACAACGACAGCAACGACAGCCAGAGTAAACGAACCTAATAAACAGGCGTCAACTTCAAATCAACATCCTTATCCACCACAAGTGCCACCACCAAGATCAGGCATTTTGAAAAATAAAGAAGAAGAAGGTGAGTGAGAGGAAAGAAAGAAAGAAAGAAAAAAAAGCTTGCGTGGATAATCCTCAGGGAATGAAATAATATTTGCATACTTGTGCATTGTATTTCATGTATTAATACTGTTTTTCTTTTTCTTTTTATATATTCTTTAGAGAGGCGGTTCGTAGGCCAGATTATGATTCCAGGACATCATATTGTCAAAGCCGAGATGGATACCAGCCATCTTCGAGGCTTAGACTCGCGGATAAAGTCCACCAAATATGACATGCAATACTTGCGCGGAAAGTGATTCATTTTTCATTTAATTAGAATTCTTGTTTTCAAAAGAACTAATCCAGGGTATCTTGTAAATAAATAAATAAATAAATAAAAACCCTTTTTAATAATAATAAACGACAGCAGTAATTCAGTGCACGTAGTAAATATAATAATAATGGCAAGAATATAAAGTGTCGTCTATAATGTCGGCTATAATGTCGGCTATATATTTATTCAGGTAAAAAATGATCGGTTAAAAAAAAAATAATAAAGAAAAAAACATTATTTGTGTAGTTTTCATGCAGTGGCAGAGGTTGTTGTAGTGGGGGCGGTGGCGGCAGTAGAGTTAACAACAGCAACGGTCGTTGGTGTAGTGGTTGTGGTTGTGATAGCAGTATTCTTTGCAGCGGGACGGTTCCATTCCTTGGGGAAACGAAGCTTTGGCTTGAGATTCTTGGCAGCATATCTCAGATCCAAGGGGACATCACTCACTGATTCTGGATCCTTCTTTGCTTCGTTGATCAGTTTGTCCATGGTATCACTCAGCCATTTAAAGTTTTGAGATCGATCCTGAAATTTTTCACAACTCATCTTGACCTGTTTCTTCACCGGATCATACCGTGGTCCGACCAAGAGTAAGAATTTATGTCGTTCTGGGTTGGTCAAAGGTAATGAATTCACATCAACTGTCATGACCACCTTGGGTGCTGCTGGATGACTGGGCTCACCAATATAAGTCGTTGCACGGAAACGAAGGATCTGTGTCTTTGAAGGAGGCTGAAATGGCTTCACAAAAGCTGCGAGGGAAAATTAAAAAAAAAAAAATTAGATGCTGTCCACGTCTTTTTCTTTTTTTCTTTTTTTATATTATTAAAAAGAAAAAAGAAAAAAGAATAAGAATAGAATCACCTACCCTTGAGCTTGGGTAGCTCGTACTTCGTAATGCGGAGGTATTGTCTGACCTCGCGTTGAGCCTCCAATACATTGTAACCAGTCTAAAAACCATTATCGCCATCATACAAGATTCCCAGCTTAATTAACAAAAAATTAAAAAGAGAAACTCCTCCGCACCCCAACATTCAACGAGAAAGAGGAGGAAAAAAAAAAAAAAAAAAAAAAAAAAAACATACGGTAGTATTATCGTCAAACTGAAACTCCTCGAGGTTAGAAACATCCAACATGTCTTTGGAACTGCCAGAGCTACGGATAGCGCCCAATGCGGATGAACGAGCTCTGTCTGTTGAGGGATAAGAGGTCATCAATGTGCGGACGGCCTGCTTCTGAACCGAAGCTGAGGCGGACTTGGCGATACCGACGTGAGCCTTTGAGATGGAACGTAGCATTTTTTTTTGGCCTTTTTTTCCTTTTCTTTTCCGAATTGAGAAATGTTAAAATAGAGTCCTGGTTATGATTCCCGGTCCGTATCGTCTTTAGTCCTTTGACTTTCCTGATGAAAACAAAGGCGTGATGATGGTGGATGACGACTGAACAATGAACAATAAATAATCGGGTTGCTTGAGAATGCCACTTTTATTTCAAGCAAGGACTAGGAGACTAGGAAACTAGAAACTAGGAAGTCAACACAAATGTCAAAGACAGAGAGGGGGCTTGTACTGTTTACAATGTTTTGATCAGACTGATTAAGGGGTGTATATGCCATCCTTCACCAGACTTTAACTCCATGACTCGGGCAGATAGTATAACATATGACTGCATATGGCATTGTAGTATTTAGGATGTAGCATAGATGCATGGGTGGATGTATCTACATTAGATCTGAACTGCATAACGTCCCGGATATCAAAGCTGAATAAGAGCATTAACATTCGAAGGAGAGGATGCCGCCGTAACTGGAAATTAAATCATATACCTGGTAAGAGGAATGATATTACAAGTGCCAAAATGCGAACTGAAGTATAAGGGCATAAGAGCGGTAGCGGGCTATCTTTATCTGAAAAAAGAAAAAAGCACCTCAGTAGACCCTAAGAAGCGTGATGACCACTGTCTTTTATCCAAACAACATTTGTTTCTAATGAAAGGTGTTATCCCAGTTTGATCTGCAATCTGCAAGTCAGGATGTTAATTCTTTGATCGACCAAAAAAAAAGGAAAGTCACTGTTCTTGCAGCACCACGCCCATTTTTTAATGGCTATTTATTCATACTTTCTTTTCTCTTCTCTCTTTTTTTTTTTTTTTTTTTTTTTTTTATGCCTTATTTTTACTACTACTCCATACTAATCGCTTCACCCTTGTTCCATACTCCTTTAAATATTCACAATGGGTCTTCTTGATATTGTTCCTGCTGGTGTTATCACTGGTTCTGATGTCCGCAAAGTATTTGCCTATGCTTCCGAGCACGGGTTTGCCATCCCTGCCATCAATTGCACTTCTTCCTCGACTGTTAATGCTGCTCTCGGTATGACCAGCTCATTATATTATATTTAATGTTAAAAAAAAAGGGTGAATGTCACTCTGTTTGTGTTTTGTTGTTGACGTGATATTTTACACAAAAACTACATGACATTTTATATTAGAGGCTGCTCGTGATTCAAAGTCCCCTCTCATCATCCAGTTTTCCAACGGCGGTGCCGCTTACTTTGCCGGGAAGGGTATCTCGAACAAGGACGAGAAGGCTTCAATCCTTGGAGCCATTGCTGGAGCTCATCATGTCCGCCATGTCGCAAAGGCCTATGGTGTCCCCGTGATTTTGCACTCTGATCATTGTGCCAAGAAGCTCCTTCCTTGGTTCGACGGCATGTTGGCTGCTGACGAGGAGTACTTTGCAAAGCATGGCGAGCCTCTCTTCTCATCCCACATGCTCGATCTTTCTGAGGAGAGCAAAGAGGAAAACATTGCAACCTGTGTTAAATACCTTGAAAGGATGGCCAAGATCAACTGTCACCTTGAGATGGAGATTGGCATCACTGGGGGTGAGGAGGACGGCGTTGATAACTCTGATGTCGATAATGCTGCGCTCTACACTCAACCTGAGGATATCCTTGAAATCTACAATGCCTTCTCAAAGATCACAGACTTGTTCTCAATCGCTGCAGGCTTTGGTAACGTCCATGGGGTTTATAGTCCCGGCAACGTAAAGCTTCATCCTGAGCTCCTTGGCAAGCATCAGGCATATGTGAAGGAACAGCTTAAGCTGGAAACTGATAAGCCCGTTTGGTTTGTCTTCCATGGAGGCTCGGGCTCGACCGAGCAAGAAATCAAGACTGCAGTCAAGTTTGGTGTTGTCAAGATGAACGTTGATACGGGTGGGTTCTTATCTTTTTTTTTTTTTTTTTTTTTTTTTTTTTTTACTTTTACGATAAGATATTACTGCTTGTGCAATTTGATCATGAAACGCTCTGCGAAACAGAGTTTGAGAAAAACGACAGTCAAAAAACGAACTCGATTACTTTATGTTTTTACCCTTCTGTTATCATTTAAATGTATATGTTATCATATAAATATTGTTGGTGACATAAATGAAGAAAAGGATAGATCAGATCAGATCGATGGGCGACAAAGCAACCCAAAGAGTCAAGAAAGATAGACGAGAGCACGCGTCTCCTTTATCTTATCGTGTTTGACCCCAAACTCTAATTTAAAAGATTAATTTCGTTAATTCCTCTACTTATTTCTGATCCTATCTTTATAGACACTCAATGGGCATACTGGAAAGGTATCAGAGACTTTTATGAGGCCAAGAAGGTAAGCAAAGCCGCTTTTTTTTTTTTTCCAGGCCACGAGACCAAGCCAAGTCTGGAAAGACAATACATTTTATATGCTTATCTATGCTCATACATACGCATCCACGCACACTCTCTCTTTCCTTTTTCCCTTCCCTTCTTTTCTAAATAGGGCTACCTTCAGGCTCAGGTCGGAAACCCCGAGGGCCCTAACAAACCCAATAAGAAATTCTATGACCCCCGTGTCTGGGTCCGTGAAGGTGAAAAGACCATGTCCGAGCGCGTCAAGGAAGCTAATCAGGATCTAGGCAATGTCAACCGCTTATAAATAAATAAAAAATAAAGTCTTTGTTGTTTTTTTTTATGCAGAAGTTTACCTCCCCTGATTTGCTACCACTAGGGCATTTTGGTATGTTAAAAAAGCCAAACTGAAATATGTGCATTAACAAAGCAAGGCGGGAAAGTATGGCTCAAAAAGGTCATGCTGGCCAATGTCTTGTGCTCTAAAGCTACATGCCATACGCTTACGAGCGCAGAACTGTTAGGGGTTATAGTAACGATTTGAAAACGTGTATATTCGTGAGCATCAATTGGCTTTTTTTTTTTTTCTAAAAAAAAAAAAGAAAGGGTGGATAGTTTACATGTTCATGTAGGGGAAAGAAAGCCATGAAAAGATCAGTCATAGTGCGTCTTTTAGTTTGAATATTATTTCATGTCAATGGGACTTGTTCTGCAACATGTGACCTGCTGTGCCCATGAAGTTAAATGTACAATTTGAATATTTGTGTAAAGTTAGGACGTGCTATGACTAACAAGTTTTTTATTATTATTTTTACACCCGATTACTCCGATGACCCTGGATAGCAGTTTATATAAATATATATAATTATCCTTCTCTGGTGCTCTGGTGCTTGTTCTGGAGCGGCAATGCCATTGGCTGATTACCCTTTTGTTGATTTGAAAATAAACAATGAGCAAGCGTGCAAGGAAATGATCCGCAGCTCTCTTCTGATATGATCATGGCTAATTATTAATACCTTTTTCTGTAATCGACACTGTCTTGTGGCTGTTTCTACGCCAAGAAAAAAAAAAAAAAAAAAAAAAAAGATAATGAATAACCTTTCAGATCTGCAGCTACAATGCAGAAAATGTACATATATACGTAAGAGGAAGAAAAAAGGGCATAGCATAAAAGTCCCTCCTATGACAATAAAAATGCTGTAGCGCATGAACATCTGCCGAATTGGCATCAGATTTCATCATCTTACAGAGTTTAAGGTCGCAAAGACCAATAGCAGTAATAACAAAAAGAGAGACAAGAGAGACATGAACACAGACACTTTTTTTCTGCGAATATTTCATTTTTGCCTCTGCCTCCACCCCAGAAGCGTCATTCGGAGGGGATATATTTTTGGGTCTAATCCAAAACAAACTAAAACAATGGGGACATCGGGAGATAGCCTACGCACACACACATATACCCGCATCATCTGCATCATTCATCTCACACACATTTAAATGTTGTCCAATTGAAACAAAGCCAAAATTTGAGTTGTACCGGTTGAAACTCTGTGCCTGAAAGCCAAAAAGTAAAAATGACCCGCCGAAAAAGACGCATCTTTCCAAGGAAAAAAAAATGCTATGATGTGAGTGAATGAGCATCCTATTTGTTTGTTTGTTTTGCTTGCTTGGTAACCTCACCAACTGTTTATATGCAATGCTCATGTTTGTTCATTCATACAAACAAAAAAGAGAACGAGAAAGACAAATGAGAGCTAGAGCTAGAGCGAGAGAGAGAGAGAGCCAGAAATGCATTATATAACCTTTCGTTCTTCCTCCCCTCCCCCTTTTTTTCTTTCTTTCTTCAACTCTTCAAGTTCATCTCATATCT